TTACAAAACCACTCCGTCCATATATCCACAACATTTTTACATATCCTGGTACTGCTATTTCAATTAACTTCTTCTTCTCCAACCATAACAGAACTTGTATCATATTAGTATATCTACCACCTAACAACAAAGACCTTAATCTGGAAACACAACAAACAGTTACACAATGGATTGAGCAAGCCACTAAAAACAACTACCATACCATAATACTGGAAGACTTCAACCATGACCACAGTAAACACACTAAAAGCTTTCCTGTCTTTCAGACAATGCAAACAACTGGGCTTGTCAGTTCTTAGGAATATTTTAACATCACCTCACCTACATGGTCTAGACAAAACAAACAAAGCCAAATTGATATCATATGGTTATCCACCTACCTTATACATGCTTTTACTTGTCCTACACTACTGACAGCAGACCTTATCACTAACAGTGATCACAAAATTGTTAGTATAGAATGGAGATACAACCCAAAGATAAAAAACTCCAGAAATAAAAAGAGAAAAAGAATAGTATACCAATATGACCAAATAACAACAGACCTATAAACTGAATTCACTCAAACAGCAACAAAGCAGATCAGCAAAAGCAGCATTGTAAACCAACAGATAAAGGACCTCAAAACTCTTAATAAACACTGGCATAAATTTTATACAGCAATCAAAAATGCAGCATCGAAACATATACCAACTAATATGATCTCACCTAAAATATTCTATGCCTTTTCAACCAAGGCCACAACACTACACTATACTCTCAAAACAATTAACAAACTAATTAGAAACCTAAATAACAAGACTAACATAAACCCTGATATACACCAAATTAACTTGCAAATTCAACAAATAAATAAACATAGTGAAATAGCACTCAATCTGATAACAGACAAGGATCTTGCAGCAAATAACATTAGTACAACAATAGGCAAACTCAAAGCTATACAAAAAGCAATCTATCATGTATTGCTCATACACAAACTATAAATCAGCACATCCAAAATAGAAATGACAATTTTGCCAAGAACACGTCCAAGATGATTGATAGTATAATATACGAACACCAACTGACATTATTACAGAATCTTTCCAGATCAGAAATCACATACAAACTCACTATGAAACATAGACTAAATCTAATTCCACAAACACCTTGCTCTGGAACACATGACAATAAGAGTATGAACCAATACCTAAAATACAAACCTCCTAGTACAAGAATCTCTCAGATATAATCTCAATAGAAGAGCTTAACATAGTCATAAAAGAAGCATTTGCCAACAAAGCTACTAGTCCACAAAACATTTCTAACAAAATATTAAAGCACCTAAACAACACTATGCTTGCAATACTACTTAATATATACAACGTCTGTCTACAGCTACAACAAATACCAGTTCTATGGAAAACAGTCGTATATATCCAATATCAAAAAAAACAAACCTTTATTGGACACTTAGAACATATTAGACCTATTACACTTATAAAACACTCAAGAAAAATATTTACTAAGATAATTACAAATAGATTTAACAAAATACTTTCTCACTACCCAATTCTTAATACTAACAATCACATCATATTACCTAATATATCTACAACACTACCAATCATAACTCTAACACACTTAATCAAAGAGGCCAACATATATTCAAAAGAACTCTGAGTTTTATCCCAGGACATGTCAAAGGCATACGATTCTGTTTATATCCCACTACTGAAGAAAGCACTACTCAGAATCAAGATACCACAAACTATTACAAACTTTATTATAGATATATTCACTAACAGACACAACACAGTAATAACTAACCATGGCACCACAGAGCCGTACCCAGTACATAACAGCATCGATCAAGGTGAGACCATAATGCCTCTGCTTTGGCATATATATTATGATCCACTGCTAACAAAAATTACTAGAGAACACACAGGCTATTCCATGCATACAACTGTTACAACAAACAACAGAATCTATAAAATAGAAGCTAACCATTCAGTCCTGGTCTACATGGACAACATGATATAGATTACACCATCTAAACAACAACTGGAAGCAATTCTTAATACCACAACAACCTTCTACAGCTTCACCAATATACAAGTAAACTCAAACAAGTCAGTACTAGTTACTCTAAACCCACAGACACTCCTAGTATCTCATTTAATGGCTCTACTATAGAGAGCATAAAATACAAACAAGCATTTAGATTCCTAGGCTGCTGGTACTCAATGTCAAAAAAGCTAACACCAATACACGACATCATTACTGCAGAAACAACAAATGAATTAACAAAAATCAAAAAAGCCAAAATCACCGACAAACAAACAATATATATCAGCAACATGTAATCCTATCCAGAATCAGCTACAGAGTCCAAAATACTGCACTGTCTCCTGCTCTCTGCTCTACAATAACAAACAAGTACACAAATATAGCAAAACACAAAGCAGGTCTCACTGCATCAATTCCCAATTCAACTCTTTTCTATAATACCATATATACTCTAAAAACCATCGAAGATATTCAAACACAACAGCATATCTCTCTTATCCTCTACTAGCTCAACCACCCAGGATTTCACAAGTCTACTTTTAAAATCAGACTCCAGCAACTACAACATGCAGTAGCAACCACAAAATCTATCCTTCAGCACTATGACTACATAATAGCCCAACCAGAACATCTCTCACCTTCAGCACAAATGCTAAAAAGTCTACAAAAAATACAAATAACAATAGGCAATCTAAATAACAATTGGCCAATACCACTACCAAATCTAGGACACTGGTTAATATTATCCTATACCACCTTAAAGGTTCATACAAAATAAAGAAAAGCCTTAACCTACTAGGATTACACACAATAAAACAATTCACAGGCAACACCCAAACAGACACAACTCCATGGTTTTACCTCCCACAAATAATACAAAAGATCCCGCAGGGCAGAGAACCAAAATGGTTTGCCAAAGTAACTAACATCATAAAAGAAAGAATTAACACAAACAGCATCACTCTAATTGAACCCAACTCTTATACACTACAAACAGCAGTAGTTAAAAAACAATCATGGGTTCTTGAGCCAACACAACACACAATTGTGAAAATAACATCAATAGTACAAGACAAAGCAATAATATACCACTGGGAGCTTAACCCTACCACCCATATGATAAAGTCCTGCACTGGCTGCAAAATCAATAATCTGAAACTTCACAAGAAAAAATGCACCCTTACTAGACCGCTCAACCAGTTAATCACCATACAAGTTGATTGCAAACACAGAATCTGATACAACTTTACTGATATTATAAATTACAATCACTCTATCAAAGCCAAAAACTCTACTATACCAAGGATTCTATTTAACAAACCTACAGCCAACTGAAGAGAATTAGCAATATACAAAGACATCAGCAATTCAATATATCCTACTGAAGCCAGGCAAATTCTTTGGCAAACACATCAACAGATCCCAAAGAGAAGCACAATTAATATAATATTTACTTACTATAGCACAAATACCGCTGATAAAATAACACATACCACAACTTAGCATATAACTGAAACAAATATCAAACTTTATCAAACCACTCTAACATGGCCTTCTAAAAACAAAACCTGGATAGATGCCCTATCTAGCATAGCACTAATCGTAAATGCAACCTCCAACCTCACAATCTACACAGATGATTTAAAGTTCATATAGCTCACCAACTACATTCTTAACATTCCAGCTCACAACATCATGTCTATCTTTTCTACTCACTTATGAGCTAACTGGCTTATATTTAAAGCACTTGTTGCCAAAAAAGATCTTATTATTAATATGGCTTTTATAGACCACACTTCTATCCACACCCAACCTGATACAAATACAGTTTGCTTTGATATTATACATACCCACATCCGACAAGACATATACACAGCACACTGGCAACAAGTCTGCATCATGTATACACCTCGTCGATTTATTCGACATATCCAAAATGCACAACACATAGCCAGATAGCATTCACAAAACAGAATAGAAAGATGGAACACCCACAGAGCACTAATATCATAGGACACAATGCAAAACTTTATTAATTTCCATGACAAACCAACAACTAGATTTACTCATTCTAAACAATCTCAGATCAAGGCCTTCAAAATTAAATTATTATTAGACGAACTCCCAACACTTCTCAATCTTAATATATACAATTCCAAAAAATATCCTAGTACAAACTGCCCAAGATGTGCAACCGCAATTGAAACCAATACATACTGGATCTTCTGTCTAGCAAATACCACAACAACTGCTCAGATTATTCAACAGGTGATCACAAAAGTCTGTACCAAAGCATAAGTCCACAAAACAACAGAGAACCAACTAGTTGACCTCGTCCAAATAACAAATTCAACTATACATAGCGACTACCCCCAGATATCCTACTAGGAATCATTTCAGAAGCCCAAACAACTACAATCAACCAACTACTCAAAGCAGTCCAAAGAAAACATACACCTACCACACTGATTCTACATAAAATTAATAAAGCAATCTATAAAAACATCTGGATACCAAGATGCCAAAATGCAGCAAATCACAACACAACAACCTTGACATCTCAAAACCCACCAACTACCACAAGCAACCCAGTTATAAGTACAGGTGAACAAAAAACAAAAGTCAAAGAAACATCCAAAAGAAAAGTTGAAATATGGTCTAAGTCATTCATCCAAAATAGCACATCACCAAAAAAACTCGCACAAATCGTAATCTAGGTGAGGCTTTGGCCCCTCTTGGTAAAGTTTGGGTCATAGATAAACTAGCCCAAGTCTTAGTTTTAGCTTTAAAGTATATGTCACACCTTTCTTTGTAAATCACATAACTTTATTAATAAAAACTGAGGCAAGACCTCGCTTTCAAAAAAAAAAAAAAAAAAAAAAAATAGCTTATTTAGTTCATTATTTTCATATCATTATTGCCAGAATTATTTACTGTATAATATACTACATACTACAAGAATTACAACCACGATATAGTATTATAATACGACCAGAGTTACTATCTACGTCAATACTACCAAAAAATTACAACTTCATTTCAATCGATCGTAATTAATTACCTCAATACACTCAATACGGCTGCACCACCAATTCTGACGGATAACAAGGCGTAAAATTACCTTGATCAATTTTCCAAAGACTACTCGAAATAATATCATTAGTAGGAACTAAACCTCGGGCCGCACTCATACAAACCTCCAAAACAGTCATCATCAGTAGGATCTGTTGAGTTTTCATAATTAGGGAATCCGGCATAAGCCCAAAATTGATATGTATTAATTATTTGTACTGGTACAATATTACAAAAATGAAAATATCCCTGTTCATCAACTAAATCAACATAAAGTACTCTTGTAGAAGTGTAATAAGTATTATCAAATACAGCTCGCATACATTTTGCTCCAGTAGGAACTTGAACAGCTAGTTGAGTATAATACGCATTACAATTTGTAAAATAACCTATATCAAGTTTCAAAGGATCATTCCTCATATCATAATCAGAATTTTAATTTTTTAAAAATTAAAATTTTTTAAAAACTTTGAGCGAAGGTATCTCAGCACCTATCTAAGCAAATTTAATGAATTTTTTTTTATTTTAATTCCAGAGATTTCTAGAATTAAAAGAAAAAAAGTTCATCGAATTTGCTTAGGTAGTTGTCGAGATATCTTCGCTCAAAGTTAGTAGAAATTCAAAACACCTATAATAAAGAAGCAGTAAAATTTTTAAAAAACTTTGAGCGAAGATATCTCGACAACTACATAAGTAAATTCGATGAGTTTTTTTTTTTGTTTTAATTCTAGAAACTTATAGAATTAAAAGAAAAAAAGTTCATCGAATTTCTTAGGTTGTTGCCGAGATATCTTCGCTCAAAGTTAGTAGAAACTCAAAACGCCTATAATAAAACAGTAAAAATTTTTTTAAATAAAAACTTTGAGCGAAGATATCTCGGCACTTATCCAAGCAAATTCGATCATCTTTTTTTTCTTTTAATTCTAGAATATCTAGAATTAAAATAAAAAAAAGTTCATCGAATTCGCTTAAGTAGGTGTCGATATATCTTCGCTCAAAGATTTTTTTTAAAAAAATTTTTACTGCTTCTTTATTATAGGAGTTTTGAATTTCTACTAACTCTGAGCGAAGATATCTCGGCAACTATCTAAGCAAATTCAATGAACTTTTTTTTCTTTCGAAATTATAAAAATCTCTAGAATTAAAACCATAAAAAGTTCATCGAATTTGCTTAAGTAGTTGTCGTGATATCTTCGCTCAAAGTTTTTTTTTAAAAAAAATTTTTACTGTTTCTTTATTATAGGGTTTCGAGTTTCTACTAACTTTGAGCGAAGATATCTCGACAACTACCTAAGCAAATTTGATGAACTTTCTTTTCTTTAAATTCAGCAAATTTGCTTAGATAGCTGCTGAGGTATCTTCGCTCAAAGTTTTTTAAAAAATTAAAATGATGTACGTAAGGTTACACAAACTGATGTACAAAAAGAACTAGTTTTCAACCCGTGGCGAAGCCACGGGGGTAGACATAAAAAAAATCCAGAACAGGCTTGTGGCGCAAATTTCCTGAACTACGAATCAAAATTTGAAATTCAGCATGACCAGAAATTTCAAAAACAACCGTTAGTTTTGCCAAAAGACGTTTATTTCTCGAAAATTCGAATAAAAAACGACCTTTGGTGCTCTAACAAAAAAGTATTCGTTGAGCAATTTTACTAATAAACTACCACTCTCTAACTCCTAACCTTGACTCTAACCCTAACATTAACGGTCTTTAAAAATTCTGCTGCGCCGCAAACCTGTCACAGAATAATTGCATAGTACGCATATGACCCAATTTATCCTGCTTGTAATCAAATACCATAGCGATAGCTCGTAAATTACTATCACATTTTGGATAGATTTTTGATATTTAGCAATTTTAGTTATGATAAACCCTCACAAATAGCATAACTGATCATAGCGCTGATTTCTCATACTATCTCATTTTTGGAAAGATTTGAGATTTGGATTTTTATTCATTTTAGTTACCAATATACAGTACATAATTTTTTTTCAATTATTTGATTTGGGAATTTAGCTATATTGTTTACTCAATTAGCAAGTGCCATGACGAATAATTACGACCAATATACAACCCTACATAACCAAAACGTAAATTTTTTTTCAAACAACTTTGATTTGGGAATTTAGTTATATTGTTTACTCAATTAGCAAGTGCCATGACGAATAATAATGACCATTATACGTACAACACTACATAACTAATACGTAATTTTTTTTCGAACAATTTTGTTTTGGGAATTTAGGTACATTGTTAGCAAGTACCATGACTAATAACTATAACATTTTTGGGATGGACTTAGATTTTAACAACCAATCAAAAGCGTTAAAGTGTACAACCCAAAATTGAATATATATATAAGAATATATAGATGTAATTTTATTGGTTAAAAAAAATTGATGTACACAATTTTGATGTACAAAAAAAAATGCCGGTTTTTTTTATCTCCTAATAATAATTATAACCGTCTAGTTAGGATTAATGGCACGCTATTGTGTATTAAGTAAACAAATTAAGCTAGATAGATCAATAAATTAGTTTGAAACAAAAATATTATATTTTGGGTTCTATAACTTGACAATATTAACAATTTATATTACTTATTGTATACCAAAATACGACTACGTACGTACGTACGTACGTACGTTGAAAAACTGCAGGCTGCGTAGGAAAAGCTACTGGGTCGATATATACTCTACTCACTAAATTCAGAATTTGTCAACACAGGCATCGGGTGTATTGTAGCTCCGCCTTCGGATAACCTTATATAAAGTATTATGTTAAATTTGACGTATAACATTCGTTTTGAATGAAAATGTTCATTTTTTCCACAAATATAAAAGTTGTGCATGTAGATCATTTATCATATGATTTCTGTGGCACAACAAAATTTTATCAACAAATACTTTATATAATAATCAACTTTTGCCAAAATTTAATCGTATATAGATAAAGACGATTGCTATTTGTACACCATGTGAGGTGGAAACGGAATTTATGTGGATTCGGAATCTATATATAAAACCCCCGTTTTTGGGGTTGATTTTATTATATGTATACCCTAACCCTAACCCTAATTTAACTAGGAAATTCCAAATACACTTAAATTCCACTCCTACCTCCTACAACATATACACACATATATTGATATCTTAAAATCCTGATTATATAATAGCTTTTGTGGCTCTAACAAAAAATATTTCTTGCAAAAATTTTAGTATAAAATATAACCTTCTCTAACTCTAAAGCTACTCTCACCCTAACCTTAAGCTATACTAATTTTCGGTGGATATGTATCATTTCACCAACAATCACTTTGCCGACACCTCGGTTCATCGACAATCAATTCACTGACAAGTTTATTTCACTGACAACTATTTCAACGACAGCTCATTTTACCAACAAGTTTTTTTAAAAAATTGTACTAATCTTAACTCTAATTCTAATCTGACCCTAACGAAATGACCAGAATTACTTTGTCGGTGAAATGATTGTCGGTGAAATAA